ACCCTTTACTGCCCTGGTGTAAAGGAAACTGAGGGTCCCTTGGGAACCCAGGAATCAAGACCACCCCCCCATCCCCACCCAGAGAGGCAACCCCTTCGGGACCTCGCAATGCCAGGATTCTGGCCTCTCCATCTAGTTCTCTCTCCTCTGCCCATCCATGATCTTTAACCCTTCAGTGATCCATGACACTTTCACATCTGGTCTGTCCACGTTACCTCAACATCCTTGGTGAGATGGGCAAGGAACGTCCTACCAGACCCATTACACAGCTGAGAAGTCCGAGGCTTGGAGAACTGTGGGGGTCACTAGGTACCCCCCCCAGACATTGGAGGATTTGCCAGTACTGAGGATAAATTGGGAGGCTGGCAGCTACCCCCCCACCAGCCCTGCCCCGACAGGGAGGCTTACCGTGCTCTGCGCCCGTGCAGGACCCTCTGGAGTCTCGCAGGTGTTTTCTGGGTCTTCAGTAGGACACCATCGACTTCAGGGCCAGCACCCCTCTGCTTCCCTCTCCTGCTGAATCTTCTCTGGAGACAGCTCCTCACACTGCCCCCCACTTGACTTCCCGTCAAGTGCCGGGTGGCCCTGAGGCTCCCCCCACTTCCACCCCACCCCCTGGCGGAAGGGCTGGGTGCAACAGGGGCAGAGAACCCCAGGATCCTGGCCAGCCTGCGCCTGACAGGTGGGGCAGGGTCTTCGGGGTGGCCGAGGGATAAAGTGGGGCTGGGGGTGGGGAGGGGGCGACCCTGTGCCCAGCACCCCTGCCCAGCACTGCGTGGCAAGGCCGCTGGGACCTGAGTCACAACTGACTGGGCCGCGCCCAGCCTGCCTGGGTGACCCAGGCCAGCATAAGGCGATGACTGAGCAGCCCTCCGCATGACCGGCCGGGGTCGGCCTTAGGTGTTTTGACTCAGACCTGCCACAAGCCGTGTGCACCAGGGCCATGCCCCTTGTCCCCGTCCCCAGGAGAGTCACAGGGCTGTAGCCACCCTTCCCCTCCTCCGGGGCGCAGGTCCCCCCAAGCCACCCCGCGCTGTCCCGGCACCCACCTCAGAACCCCGGAGTCACCTGTCCCATCTGGTTGGCCCTCCTCCACAGGCTCCAGGGCCCCACCTGCCCAACCCACGTCCCTGGGAGACCTTCGCCCCTCCCCGCACCAGGGAGCAGAGCCCAGCCCTTGGGGCCGCCCCAGGAAGCAGGGAGTGGGGCTGGCCAAGCGGAAGGCCTCCCCAATGCTGACCGTGGACTGTGAGCCTTGTCTTAGCATGGAAAACGGGTTCTGTGTGCACTCTGGGTCCCCGGCCTTGTGTGGAGGGGAGGAGGGCAGGGGGACAGGGGCAGAGAGAGGAGTTGTGAAGAAAACCAATAAGGAAGAGAAAATGAGGGAGAAAAAATAAAGAGAATGTTGCTTGTGCACCTGCTCAGCGACAGCTTATGATAACGCTGGAACAGTGCTGCGCGCACGTGCGTGCGTGTGTGTGTGTGTGTGTGTGTGTGTGTGTGTGTCTTGTCTCCCGGGAAATCTTACAGCCAGGGAGGTGAGCCAAATTAGCCCATTGTACAGAGGGGAAAGCTGAGGCTTGGCTTGGGTGGTCACACAGGTTTAAGGGTGGTGTTTGAACTCATTTTGCTTGACCTTCAAGTATTTTCTCATCCCTCAAGAAAGAGGGAAAAGAACCAGATGGATCGTGGTGGACAGTGAAGGTCATGGAGGCAAGAGAGCCGGCTCCGCTGTTTGCAAGCCCTGAGTTTGTTTGGCAGTTAGATAGTGAGTGCTGGGCACCCCATTCCAGCCTTTTCCCAGCAGTTTCCCTGCCCTCTGGACCTGGGGAGCTTTCCATCCTTGTGCATTACATGCTGTTGACTGAGGGGCTGAAAGGGTCACCTTGAAAAACTTGAAAAAGACAAAGAAACTCTGGCTTTGAGTCGATGCCCACACAAGGCCAGGACCCTTCTGTGTTCCTGAGCCTGTGCTGGTTCTGCCGGGGCCTGGGGCCACTTTGTTCCTTCACACAACCCCTGGGGAGGAAGCATCCGCTAGCCGCCTGCCCACAGCGTGCCACCACTCCAGGGAAAAACGCTTCCTCTGTGGCACAAAAACATTTTTTGAGCCCCGCCCCACTGCCTGTCCCAGCAAATGGTCGTGGGAACCCCAGTCTCACTTGGAGTGATCAGAGAAAGCTTATTCTAATTCTAGATGCCGACTCTAGAAATGATGCCCTGCCCGCAGCCACCTGAGCCTCTCTGGATGGGGGAATCGAAGAGGAGGAGGCATTTGAACTCAGGGTAGGAGGGTAGCAGCAGGGGTGGGAAAACGCTGGCTTTGAGGGGGGGCTGTCGGGATGCCTGGATGGTGCGGACAGAGACGAGCTGGCAAAGCTGGCTGAGCATGAGAGCGGGGGCCTGGGGTTTGCAATTGGTACCGCAGCCAAAGGACAGGTGGGAGTCCCCCAAGGCTTCTGAGCAGAAGAGAAGGTAGCAGTGAGATTTTCGACCCGTGTCCAGGGAGCCAGGACCTGGCTGGCTGTCGGGAGAGAATCAGGCATGTGCCTGAGACAGGCTGTGGAAGAAACCCTGGGACATTGTGATCAATGGGGAGAGGAGAGGCTAAGAGAGGAGAATGTGAGGACAGAGGTTCTGGAACTTCTGTGGGGGCAAATAGAAGGCAGAAATCAGGTGTGGGGTAGGGGTGACCTTGGCCTTGAGGTATCCACAGGGCTCCCAGCTCACAGTTCCTAGCAATTGGGCCTGTAGACTTGGGAGAGCACCAGGCTGGAGACAGCAGTTTGGGGGCACCTGCGGCTGTGGTCTCAGCAGGGGACAGCGTGGAGGGAACAAGTCCTCGGAGGTGGGACCCCTGAGACTCCCTCCCCAGATTCTGGAGCTCCCTCATCTGCTTCCTACGGGGTGGGTGCTGGTGCAACTCAAAGCCAGACACCTCTCCTGGGGCTTATCCACAGAGTAGAGGGCTGGCAAGGGGCCCAGGCAGGGAGGCGGGGGCAGCCACCCTGGGCTTCCCAGCTCTTCCTCCACAGACCAACCTCTGCTCATTCCGTGGGCAACAGCACGACCTGCCGCAGCCTCAACTCCCCTTCCGCTCCGAGAACCTGAGCGAGTTTGGCTCAGTGTCTGCTGCCTCCCACCCACAGCTTCCCAGCAGCTCAGCCTCAGGAAAGGCCCCCACCCCCATGCTGGGGCAGAACGTGCTGCTCAGCTTTCTGACTCCCTCCAGGGCCCCTCCTGCCCTGCTCTTCACTGAGCTCCTCCTGGGTGCAGGCACCGAGCCGGGTGCTATGTTGGAGCAGAGGGAAGCAGACACCATACCCATCCTTGACAGGTTTCAGGCCAGCAGGGGAGGCAGAGGGTAAAACACTACAGTGGGGGAGGGCTTGTCAATAAGACAGTTTTCAGAGAACAAATAAACCAAGTTGCTGGACCCAGACCATGGGTGATTGGGAAGAACACCCAAGGAGGTGCTGATCAGAATGACAGGGAACACTGTTCCAGACAGAGGGAACAGCATAGGCAGAGGTCTCTTGGCAGGAGGGAGCCTTGGGCATATTGGGAGCCAAAAGGTGGGCTGTGTGGCAGGAGCCTTGAAAGCGAGGGACAGCCCAGTGGGGGACAGTGGGAAGCTCTCACCAGGTACTTGGTCAATCACCTGGAACACTGGGCACTGCCCTGGAAGCCTGCCGGTTGCAAGTCCAAGCGTGGAGTTCTGCACGGGAGTTCCCTCTGTGATCTTGAGTAAGACACTTCCCTTCTCTAGGCCGTTTTGATAAATCAGCCATGCCCGCCACTTACTTTATGCTGATCCTTGAATGCCTGGAGCCTTTGCTCTAGCTGTTCCCACCACCTGCAAGCCCCGCCCCTTCTCCAGTGTGTCATTCTGGGTTTCAGAGTAGATGGAGAGGCTTCACCTCCTCCAGATGCCACACTGACCACCCCTATTGCCTGGGTCTCTCACTCGGTTCTATCACCCTGTGTTGGTTTTTGCTGAACTCATGCTGCAGTGTCCTGTTGGTTCTACGTGTCTGTTGCCTGTCGGCCCCCTAGCCTGAGAGCTCTGTGCCCTCAGGGACTCAGTGACATTGTTGGCCTAGTTACAGAGGCTGGAGTGTAACAGAAGTTACTCCCGCCCTGCATCTAAAGGACCTGAATTTAATATACGCCTGCCCTCCCTGTAGTCTCCCTAAGTCTCAGTCTTCTCATCTGCAAAGTGGATCGTATCTATTGTAGAGAGACCTGCATGAGGCTTTCCTCCACCCCTGATGTTAAGTCCTGTTCCATCTTGGCCCCCAGTCCCAGGAGGTGGGGTGCCCAGGGATGGATCCAGGTCAAGTTCATCCACTGCTATTAGCTCTTCCTTTGTAGCTGCTGCCTTAGCTTCCATCGGCATGTACACAATGTCTTATTGTGCACAATTTTAGGGTTTGCATTTAATCCTCAAGGGTCCACTTTCTTCCACAGATGTTTATACTGTATCCCTATTTACTAAGTGGGAAGGGGGCTCCTTTATATAGTGCTTCAGTATTAAGTCAATACTTGTTCTGTTTCGGGGAATGTTCTTTTCACGCATTAAAAAATTTCAAGATTAAAGAAAAGGCGGGGCTCTGAGCATGAGGAGGGAGCCCAGTTTTCTGGTGGCCTGGTGGAATTCCTACCCCCTGGGGCCCCTCAAGAAGCAGGTTCAAGGACAGAGCAGGTCACAGGCCATGTCTAAGGCAGGATCTGTTAGTATCTTGTCTATTTCACGGAAACCACATCAGCACATGGACTCCCAGCCAGACACGCACAGGGGCCCCCACAGCTCCAGCCTTCCTCCTTTCCCTCTTGCTCCGAAACCTCGATATCCCTAGCCCCTAGCATCTCAGGGGAGTCACGTTCAGACGGGCTAAATGCTCTGTGTTTGAGACACCCCACAGTCAGAGCCCCTGTCTCTCCAAAAGGCCAGGCTCCCCCAAATCCTTTCCCACCAGACAACAGAGAGACACAAGGGCTTTAGAAAAAGGCAAGTTTTTTAAATATATGTTGGCACAATATTAACATTAAATACACATCATAAATAAGCCTTATAAATAGTAAACAGATAAAAACTGATAAAAATCGATAAATTAGTCATATCCCTCCAAAGAATTGGGCCAGCACCTTCTGGGCGTCCCTCCAGAACCAGTTTCCGCATGAGAAATTTTAATGATGCACCACCAGGGGGCGCAGCCAGCAGCCGGGACCCAAGACCAGGCCCTCCAGGCAGTATGTCTGTAGAGAACTCCAGGCCCTGCCCATTTGCAAGGCATTGGATATTTGCTCTATGTCATTGAATCAAGCTGAGAGGGCTTTACACCAACTGCTTGAATCACAAAAAATAAAACTGAGGTTCAGAGAGGTAAAGTGGCCTGCCTGAGGCCACACAGTGAGTTAGGGGTTGAGCTGGGAACTGAGCCCTGTTCTTGGACACCCCTGTCCCCAGATCAGTGCTCCTTCTAAGACACTCTGCATCTGTCACAGCTGCCTAAAGTGAGATCACCCAGATGTCCAGGTGTCTGGCCTGAGAATGGCAATGAGCCTTCGGAGGCCAGCTCAGGCCCTAACCTTCCCCTCGGAACAATGCTGCCATGGAAAGGAGGAAGTCTGGGGGCAACGGCTCTGTAAGTCATGAGAGGGAAGGGCCAGCAGACCTCGGGGAGCAGAGCGGCGGGGGGGCAGTCAGTCTGGCCATGAGTCAGCCTGTGTCATCAGACCCCTGAATCAATGGAAAGTTGGCCCCGCGTGGCCTGACCCAGCCAACCCACCAAGACTGACGAATTCAGGGCTGGGGGCTCAATAGCCTGACCCTATCCTTCCATCCCGGAGCCTGGCTCCCAACCCTTAAAGTGCACTTCTGGGAGGTGGGGAATAGAGGGGAGCAGGTTTGGAGGCCCTGGGGGGAGATGCCATCCTAGGGAGTACATACAGATCCTTTCTCTGCCTGGGGTGTCCCCTAAGACTACCGGGGCAGCTGAACCCTGGGCAGGAGTCTCTTGTTCCTGGAGAGTGGCACTCTGTGGGCCCCCTTCCGCAGGCCCCGGCGGGGGCTGTGTCTCCGGCTCCGACTCGGGCTCTCCGCCCACTCTCGAAACACCTGCCCCACGGAGTGCATGAAGCGGTGATAGCCATGCAGGAACCTGCAGCCTTCAAGCCTGCGCTGGAAGGTGTCTGGGGTGGGGGTGGGCAACGGAGATGTCCCTGGGCCTATAGGAGCGGGCTCAGTCGTCTCTGATGAGCCTGGAAGCAGCTGGGCCAGGCAGTGGATATTGTTCTTGAACCCGCGAATGTTCTGCTTTGCCCTATTCAGTGTCTCCAGGTCCTGGGCTTTGGGGATGTCTCGCTGCAAGGCCTTCAGTCTGTGCAGAACGTGGTCCAGCATGGTGTCGAGAGCCCGCAGGAATTCCTGCCTGCTGAGCCGCTGCAGGGCCTCTTTGCTGGGGAAGGTCCCTGGGCGCTCCTGGCAGTGCTCCTTCAGTCCATCCTTGTCTAGGCCTTGGCTTTGGATCTGGAGGGAAAAGAGAATCAGGACATGAGTGCTCAAGCCCCCAACACACACACACACACACACACACACACACACACACAGAGGTCTGCTCTGGTCTGCTTTGAAATGCTGGACCTCATGCACCCCATCCCATCCAATCCTCCCATTGTACAGATCAAGAAACTGAGGCCAGAGAGGGGTGAGGACTCCCCAGTGTCTGCAAGCAGGGACAGAAGGATGCTGGGGATGGGGGCTGGTTGGGGTGACTGTGATGCAGGGAGCGTAACCATAGGCTTCAGGAGGACAGGACTCTGTTTGGGTTCCTGCTGCTACCCCTGAGGAATGGGACAAGCTGGGAAAGATCTCTCCTCTCCTTGGTGTTTCAGAGTTAGGCCCAGAGAGGTCCAGGGGGCCCTGGAATAACACAGGGACTTGGTTTCCCTACTGGCCCCATCTGGAGTGGGGGTACGTGAATGGGAGTTGGGCCTCATCCTCTCCAGGCTCACTCATGCCCCAGGCCTGCTGTCCTCTGAGACTCAGATGCCACCAGGGACCAGGCGCTCACATAGGGGTTCAGGAGCATGCTGGTTCGCTGCATGATGTCCGCCTGCTTCTGGAGCTGCCTGAGCAGCTCTTGGTCCTTGTCCAGACAGCTGCCCATGACCGGCGTGCTCAAGAACAGGAGTCCGAGGACCAGACCTGGGGCAGAGAAGGGGGGAAGATGTCACCTGACTTTGGGAAGGAGGTCAGTGACTTTCAGAGGGGAGGACACCCCCAGGGCCTCAGAGGGCATAGCCCATCGGCTCAGGCTTCGTGCCATTGAGGGTGGGGCTGGGCACTGTGTACGCACCTGCTGGGGCCACTGCCACCTCCCTGGCAAGTCACAGCCCAGCATCCCTAACAATGGTTCTGCTTCACCAAGCAGGCCCTTGAGAGGAGTTCCCGCGCCTGCCAATCTTGCCAGCCTCGGGATCTGACACAGGGCAGCCCAAGGGAGGCTGCTCTCTGCAAGACCTCTGGGCCAAGATTCTGGGCTCCCCTGCCACAGATCCTGGCCCTCTGCACAGGCGGGCTCAGCCTGGGAGCAGCCCAGTGCCTAGAGCTCTGTCTGTACAAGCAGAAGAGGCTGCCTTTCCCACCGAAGGTTCTGTCTGCAAAGGATGTGTGGGATCATCTAGACCTTAGCCCCATTCTACTGACAGGAAAATCAAGGCACTGAGGGAGAAGGGCTTGCCCAGTTCACACAAGGCCAGGACTCTCCCCGACCTTGTGCACCTTCCTCTTCTCTTCATTAGTGGCCACTTCCGTCAGGCCCACCAGGGATGCTGTGAGCCAGACTCTTGCGGGTGGTTGGGCATAGTTACTGCTAGCGACCTCCCCACACCCACCCAACCCCCACCCCCAGGCACCGGCAGCCATGTGGTCGGAAGGGGCCTGTGGCGCAATGGCCCGGAAGGCAGTGACACCATGTTCCGTTCCTAAGAACCGTTCAGCCCCTTGGGGAAGACGCTGCCGGGGACGGCTGGGGGGCTGGCCACCCAGGCACCAAGACCATAGTGTGCTCCTCGCTACCTCCCAGGTATCTGCAGCCGGGCTTGGGCGGGGGGCAGGGAGGGGATCCATGTGAGTGCTGCGTGCACGTGGGACTAGGGTGTCTTCATGGGTGTGTGTCCAGGTCTGCATGAGGCGAGAGGAACAAACTGGCCACACACAAGCGTTGTGCCCAGTCCACACTGGGGCACCGGACTGCGTGTGGAGGCTCCCAGGTCAGTGAGATTGAGGGCTCTGAATGACATTATGTGGCTCTGTGTGCGTGTCACCCTGTGGGTGTGGCTAGGCGTGCTGTGTGATTGTGTGGGCTCCAGGGTCCCTGTGCCTAGCGGACTGTGTCTCTCCATCCCAGACCCTGTGGATCAGGGCAACAAGGAAGCCTCACTGCCCCTCCAGACATCACACTGCTTTTCTATTCAGCGTCTGCAGATTCCTCCTCGCCCAGCACGTCACTCACCTCCCTCCTGCTTCCTTGGCTTCTCCCTCAATCTATCCCCTTCCCTTATTCTTTTGCTCACAGTCACCTCTATATCACCTCCCCTTAAAAGTCTTCCAGGGATTCTCCTTCTTTACCCTGTGAAGGTGCTCTGTTCTCAGTGGACCACTTTCTTTGCCTGACCTCCTGGCTCTCTCCCCTTCTCAGCATCCTTCTGGCGCCCGGCCTTCCCAGCTCCCGATAGACAGAAGGTGCCCCTGCACCATGCTGGCACCCATGGGCACAGCAAGCGGGGTGCTGGTGGAGAGGAAGGAAGTACTTACTGGGCAGTGTCCTCCACATAAGTTGTGCCCGCATGCTGGGTGCCCGAGCTCCGGCCGGCGCCTGCTGGGGGTGACACCTCCTGGCTGGGAGCCTTGCGGGCTGGCAGCCACTTTATGCCCGCCAGGGCGATTGGCCAACACCTCGTGAGGTGGGTGGGGAGGGGGGAAGGGCAGGCCTTCTGGGAACATAACCCCAAAAACCAAAGTTTCCACGGGCGGCCAATGGGCGCTGTGTGTGGTGGCATGCCTCCTCCTCCTCCTGTTTTCTTCGAATTGATTCTTCGAGATCAGGCTCTCTCCCAAAGATGATGCAAACTGCAGCCTCAGCCTTCCTGGGGTGAGCAGGGGGCAAAGGGGTCCATGCTATCTGTAGGGAGCTGTGCCCAGGAAAGAGGGGAGAGTGTGACAACTGGGTCCTTGGAGGGCTGCAGGTCAGGCTTGGCCCAGGAGCCAACAGCCTCACAAGTCACTGTGGTTTGGCGCTGAGGGTAGCGAGACATCTTCCTTCTTGAGTGCCCTTCCCGCCCTCTTGCTGGGACTGTTGGGACATCTGTGAACAGAAACCACCATGCTCTGGGCACAGAGCCAGACCCAGGCTGGCAGACCCGAGATTGTGGTTCTGGCCCCAGGACCACCGGGGCTCCCAGCCATCTCCTCTCTCCCATCATGCAACCCCCTCGCAACTAGCCTTCCTTATCCCAGACCCCTTGCCTACATCTAGGACCTTTCTTTACAGATGGGGTATTCTGGGGGGAAATGAGACATAGGAAATTAGGGTTCAAGCCTGCCAACATGCTGTGTGACCAGAGGCAAGTCACCTAATGTCTCTGGGCCTCAGCAGCCCCACCTGTAAAATGAGGATTCGAAAAGCATTTCCTGGGCCAGGCTCATAGCCCTGCCGCTATCATGGACATAAAAGGCAAAAGTCCTTTGAAGGAAAAAAGAAAGATGAAAGTCTAATTCCAAGTACTCGCTGCTGAGGGCTAGTGTGGGGGGCGGAGGAGATGGGGAAGCTGTGAGCTCAGAGGGGAAGCCAGGGTGGGGGAGTCACCGTGGTGATGATTGGGGACCAGGTTTCACTTTCTCTGAAAGATAGTGATTTTTGGTTAGTCTTCCGCTTCTCGCAGACCTCAATGGATGTCAGAGTCAAGGCACTGTGGAGACCATGCCTCTCTAGTCAACCTGCTACTCTGTTAGGGTAAACTGAGGCCTGGCCTAGGGCAGACAAGGAGGCTGAGAGGCAGCCCCAGCATATCTCCCTGGCTTGGAAGAGGGTCTTTGGCCTGCACCCTCAGGAGCTCAGTGGGGAGGAGGGCCTCAGGAGCCCGGAGAACCAGGGTAGGACCCCTGGAAGCTGCCAGCTAGGGAAAGCACTGGGCCTGTGGAGCCTGCACAGGGAGCGCTGAGGTGGCAGGAGAGAGGGTGGGTTGGACAGCCATCCTGACCACCAGGGCTGCTCCCACCTGCTCTATCCTCTGCAGGCACGTTCACCATTACTCATTTATTTGTTCGACGAACTTTTATTTGGCCCTACTCTGAGCCAGCCCCTCCCAAGCGCTGAGGATCCCATAGTGGGCAAAACCAGACTCTTCCCCCATATCCCCATGCCCAGGAGGCTATTCCTCACCTCCCGCCCACTCCCTGGCATCCCAGCATGGCGCTCACCACACCTACCATCGCCGCCCCCAAGGACCAGTTCTGGATTCTCCTCCTGAGAATGTGGCTTCTGCTCAATTCCTCATCTCTGTGCCCACCCCCGCAAGACCGTTTCCTGGGGCCCATGCCAAGCTAGGATCCTTCTTCATTTCGCATCCCTGATCTCATCCAGCAACAGCCCTGGAAGGGAGAGAGCACCAGGGCAGGGATGCCTCGGCTCTCTTGAACAAGGAAACTGAGACACTCAGGGCCTGGCTCTGGGCTGGAGAGCCACAGCTGGCTGGAGTGCTTCTTGGCCGTCTCAGTTACCGAGGACCGCCCTTCGCACTCGGGGTAGGGGGAAGGCACAGGCCTTTGCTTTCCTGTTTCTGCATCACCCTGGGTGGGAGCAGTTAAGAGGACGTGGTGTTCACAAGGGGGCTCTCAAGTCTGAAAGACCACGCTCTGAGCAGCAAAGCGAGGTGCGGCGTGCAGGCCCCAGGGGCAACGGCCACCGACAGCAAGGAGGAGTTAGCTATTGGTCTGCTCGGGCTGCCCTGACAACATAGCACAGACGGGAGGACTGAAACAACAGAAATGGTTGTTGGTGCCATCCTGGAGCTAGGAGTCTGAGACTGAGCGATCAGTAGGGTCGATGTTATCCTGCAGCCTCTCTCTTGGCTCCTAGACGGCCACCTTCTTGCTGTCTCCTCATGTGGTTGACCCCTAGTCTGTGTGTCTGTCCTAATCTCCTCTTCTTAGAAGGACAGCAGCCATAATGGATGGGCCACGCCCACCCCTGTGGCCTCCTTGTGCCTTACCTCTCTGAGGACCCTATCTCCAAATACAGCCACATTCTGAGGTACTATGGGAGTCGGTCTTTAACACAAGAATTTAAGGGATAAAACCCTGCCCAGAACAGCTTGCAAGAGGAGGGCATGGTTGGAGGGCTGCGGGGAGTGAGGACGATGGGGGAGTGCCTGGAGCTCGGTGGGAGGGGACAGTGATGTGCAGGAGGACAGGCAGTGGCCCCAAGGTGAGGAGACCCGGCTGGCCAACCGAGCAAAGCATGAGGGGAAGATGCGTCAGCATTTCTGGTGAGGTCAGCGCCCAGTGACGTCCCTCTCCCCAGCAGGAAGGGCTTGCAACACGGCCCAGCCAGTATAAATAGGCTCCCCGACCACAGGCCCGGGCTGTCCCCTCTTCCCGGGCCACGTCAGCTGGGTCCTCGTGATTCGGAGGGGGAAAGAGGACTGGCTTGTTTCCTCAGAACTGCTGTTCCCTGGTCTTTCCGGCCCACCCTCTGCCTGTGAGGCTCTACTGCTCTAAGTGCAAGAACAGACCTGGGGTGGACTGGGTGGGTCAGAATTGGAGGCCACTCATCTGGGAAGAGAGACAGTGACCTGTGACCTGCTAGGGTGGGAGCTAAACACCAACCCAGTTACCAGTTACCAGTCTCCATCTGCTTATGAGCTTATGAGCCCAGTCACGTCCCCTTTCCGAGCCTCAGTTTCCCCTGTGGACAGCAGGGGCACAATGTAACAGTCAAGAGGCAGACAACCCAAATTTAAAATGGGCCAAGGCGGGACAGCTGAGTGGCTCGGTGGGTCAGGCATCGGCTCTTGGTTTCGGCTCAGGCTGTGATCGCAGAGTGGTGAGCTCGAGCCCCGTGCTCATCAGGAAGTCCACTGGAGGTTCTCTCCCTCTCCCTCTGGCCAGGCATGCTCTCTCTCTCAAATAAATAAATAAATATTTTTAAAAAATAAAGCAGGGGCACCTGGGTGGTGCAGTCGGTTAAGGCTCCAATTCTTGGTTTTGGCTCAGGTCATGATCTCAGGGTCCTGAGACCAAACTCCGTGCTCAACCCAGAGTTTGCTTATGTTTCCCCCTCCCTCTCCCTCTGCCCCTCCCCCCTCCCCGCTCGCTCTCTCTGGTGTGCGCGCTCTCTCTCTCTCTCAAAAATAAATAAATCAATCTCTAGAAACATAATGAAAATAAAAATAAAACAAAATGGGCAAAGGAGAAACAAATAGCTATTTCTTCAAAACAGGCAAATGCCCAATAAACCCATAAAAAGCTGCTCAACATCGTTAGCCATCAGGAAAATGCAAAATGAATGGGTCTGAGGAAAATGCAAAATGAAAACCACGGTGAGATACCTCTTCATACCCCCTGGGGTGCCTGTCATCAAAGACAGTAACAAGTGCTGACGATGACAGGGAAGAATCAGAACCCTAGGATACGGCTCCTGGGAATTCAAGATGGCACAACCGCTTTGAAGACCAGCAGGCCTTCCAACACTCAAACATAGAGATGCCCCATGCGTGAGAGTTCCACGCCCCCGTATGCACCCAAGAGAATTGAAAACATGTGTCACACAGGAACTTGCACACAAATATTTATAGCAGCCTTTATTCACAATAACCAAGAAATGGAAGCAACCCAAGTGCCCATCAACAGAAAATGGATTTTAAAAATTGTGGTCTAACCATACAACAGCATCTTACTGAGCCACAGAAAGGAATGAGGTCCTGATTCGTGATAGACTGCGGATGAACCTCAAAGGCAGGACGCCAAGTGAAAGAGACCAGTCACAAAAGGCCACACGTTGTACGATTCCATTTGAATGAAATGTCCAGAAGAGGTAAATTCATAGAGACAGAAAGCAGAGGAGTGGCTGCTGGGCCCGGAGGGGTCTGAGGACAAGGAGTGATCACTAATGGGCATGGGGTTTCTTTGGGGGTGATGGAAGTGGTTTTGAGTTAAATTGTGGTGATGGTGGCACTGTCATCTGAAGAGACAAAAACCCAGTGAATTACCCACTTAAAGTGAGAAATTTGGTAATAAATATTTTGTATCTTTATTTTTTTAAATGCAGTGGCGAATACTACTTCAAGAGAACGGGGAGCGTAACTCGGTGAATAACACGTGCCAATGCCCAGCCCATCGCTAGTCCTCCAGAAATACCCGCCAGCCAGTCAGTCACCCGGACAGACAAAGGCACGCATCTGCTTATGTCATAGGCTGGCTTTGAGGATGATTGGGAAAGAAAATATTACATAAACCCTGGGGTGATCAAGGATCGACCAGCGCCCTCCCCACGAAGCCGGTGAGGTCATCCTGAGCTGAAGGATTCTTCGGTTGAGAACTGCCAGAGTTCTTCTGGGACCTGGTGTGTCCATAGTGTGGGAAGCCATGTCCCCCATGTGCCCAGTGGCTCCCCCAAATTGGGTAAGTGAGCGCCCTGCCAGAGGCCTGAATACCTATTGAGGGAAGTGCAGCAGAGAAGGAACTATCTTCTGTTCGGGAGTTTCTTACGGTTTGCGGTGAAGGGGTTGGGGGATATGTCCCCCTCTGAGGGGAGATGACCAGGAGATTAGAGCGCTGCCCCTCTACCCTCTCTCCGATTGGCCTAGAACAATTTCCCCCTCACCACCTCTCTGAGACCAAGGTCCTCTCTGTCAGATGAGGGGACAGGAGAGATGA